TTTTCATTATGTGCATAAGTGCGTTAATGCTGCAGTGCCCTTTTATTGATCGTGGAGATTGTGGTGTACGGACTTCGGTTTGTCTGTTGATTAAAAAAAAAAAACAACGGAAAAAAGGGGGGGGGGGGGGGGCGAATGGAAGGTTTTGTAGGGAATAAATATCCTTTAACATAGACAAAGTAACAGAATATCAAAAGGAGTACACCTACAACGTTTGAATAAATCTTAAGGTTATACGCCTTAAGGAAACTATACAGTATAATTAAATTACATACGACAAAAGTTTATAGTCAAGTACACGGGAATTATAAAAAATGTGTGTATATTCACAGATCAAACAGAATAAAGTGTGTTCAGCGCATGAATAATGTGTATAGAGCCCTTTTTATAGCCTGCCATGATGTTTCTTCTTTGTTTTTTGTTTTTTCTCAAAAGGCGGTTGTCGGCTTGTGTTTTGTTTCACAGCTAGGGTGCGATATGTGGGTTCTACACACAAAATTTCAGACAACACAGAGTTAGCCACAGTTTACGATTTGCATGTTTAAAGGGGGGGGGGGGGTAATTTGGGACCCCCCCCCCCCAAGTGGACCTCGGGACCCACACAGGGACTACTTCTTCGAGTTCATCCGCTGTAAACTCTTTGCCGGAAGTTTTGCTTGTTCTTTCACTTCTCGACTGCAGTTCTGTTCTCGAGTCTTGCGTGCACATCCGCTTTTACTTATCTGGCTCATTTCTATGCAGGTTGTTGGTTCCTTGCCTCTCAGACAGATGCACTCCGACTTCAAAGGAAGCTCCCAGTTAGTCGACTCTTACGACAATGTTTTGGTTGGTTTATACAGCGGATCAACGTCATGGCATAAGAGTAGTAACCCATAAGTGCTCCGTTCTACTTCTAACTCAAGCCTCAGTCCGAAGAATTTCAGCGCAGTGCACGAAATCCGTATCAACTGCGAGGATTCTAAAATACTTTGGGTTGATTTTTAACTCCAAATTTTGCCCGGGCAGCGCCGTTAGGCTACTCTTGTTGATGTCCAACCGCCAAAGGACTTTTTTTTACATGTACACATGGACGTCCGATCTTACTACCCAGAGACCATGGAAAATTACCAGAAGTCTACATGAAAAAAAAAATTAAAAATCTGAGCCTATACCGGGGCCTGAACCCAGGATCTCCAGCACTCGAGGCGGACGCTATGCCTCAAGGTCTCTCAGCTCCCCTTCTTCTACGACATGCTGTTGGGTAGGCAGTGGGTCTATTCTTGTTTTCCCTATAATTGGGTCCGGAACCCACACCCTTTTACGACGTGCTGTTTGGTAGGCTAGTTTGGTCAAAGCTAGAGCTGCTTTTGGAAGGATGAGGCAAATCTGGAAATCCAACAATTACTGCAGAGGAACGAAACTCCGACTCTACAAGAGCATCATTTTGCCAGTTCTTCTTTATGGAGCAGAATGCTGGAGAATGAAAAGGAAGCACACAAGCTGTCCACCTTCCACCACACATGTCTACGTAGAATTATCAAAATTTGTTTGTTTAGATGTGTGTTATTAACAAAAGGTCAGTGGATTCAGCCAGTGAAAACGTTGATTCATCACCATCATCATGTGTAGCGGCTCCTTTTCACTAGGCCGCCAGGTTAAGTTTTCTTTTCTTGTGTATTCCAAGGTGCCGACCACAAACTGTGATCACACTTGTGTCAGTCTCTCCGTGCCTCTTCTCTCAGAAAACACGCTACCCAATTCTTGCTGTTTAAACTTCTAAAAGGAGCTGCCGTCCTAATGGTTGGTGCCCAAGTCTCGTGCTGGCGAACCGAGTTCGAATTCGCTGAACGGGGATGAGCGTTCCCCCCCCTCCCCCTTCTGTCAGGGGCAAAATAAAATCTTAACCTGCATAGTTTGTGGCGACTGCACTAGCCACGTGGCCCTGAATCCTTAATATGTCTGTAGCAGGTCAGAAGTCCCAAAGTCTTTGATAACAAATTTTAGGTATCTTCTTCTTCTTCTTCTGCTGCTGCTGCTGCCTCCTCCTCCTCCTCCTCCTCCTTCTTTTTCTTCTTCTTCTTCTTCTTCTTCTTCTTCTTCTTCTTCTTCTTCTTCTTCTTCTTCTTCTTCTTCTTCGCGTTCACCGGCTGCAAACTCTGGCGGAAAGTTCAGGTTGTTCACCCACTTCTCGACTCCACTTGCTGTGCTAGTGTTTGAACACAGTTTAACCCGGCACTGCTTTGGCCAGTCTCATCTAACTTCTATGGAAAGGTCGCCATTAAAGATAATTACTCAGCGAAACTATTCAAAGTATGACATTTTACATTTCTTAATCGCTGTAAAAGTGGATAATGGTTGTGAATTGTGGGGCGTTTCGAGTTTGTGGAGTAGAACAGTGGGTCCCTGTTAGCTAGAACCTGCGAACATCTCTTTTTCCCCTCAAAGGTCTGTGACCTTTTAGTAGTCAGTATGGTTAGTTGCGTATCCTTTACAGGACGTTGCAGAACCAACCCCAGCAGCCCCTGGCTTTTGTGTGGTTTTTCTAGGCAAATTAACGTCCAGTAGTTTGCCATTGCTTCCTGGACGGTCGGCTTTCTTGATACCACTGTCAGTCAGTATGAGTAAATTATTATTTATAAATGATAGGATAACAAAAAGGATTGCATCCTAATGCTAATTTTTCTTTTTAAACGATGCCTCTCAAGTTTTTTCTGCTGGTCCACACACGAATGGAACATATTTGAGTAGAGAAAAATATCAGTTTGTCACAAAATACTCCGGAAGAGGGAAGAAGGCAACATGTTTAGCTAGTTAATCGACGGATTATCCTCAGTGCACTGAGGATAAGTCTATAAGCGCTCGGATCCCATCTTCAGTGTGTCCCTCAGCGTGTGGCGACTGATAACACCAGTTCTGTGTTGGGTTACTATTCTTCTTTGGCTGCCTGTATAGTAGTGATTCTCAACCTTTATGATGCCGCGGCCCTTTAATACAGTCCCCTGATGTTGCGGCGACCCCCAAACAATTATTTCCCTTTATAACTTCAATGCATCTGTGTTTTCCGGTGGTCCTAGGCGACCTCTGTGGAAGGGACGTTCGACCCAAAGGGGTTCGGCCGGCAAGCTGAGCGCCGCTGCTGTGTAGTGTTGACGTCTGGTAGTAATTCTTTCGACCTGAAGTTCTTGTAAACTTTTGAATGTTGTCAAGTCTCCTGAATAATGTTATCGTCCTACCTCACTGAGAGCATCATTAAGAACATCGGCCAGCCTGGTATTATATCAACGTACAATATTGAATGTAGACATTTAAATGGCTGGGTAACAAATGGAAGAGAGAAGTTCTAGAGAGCCTAAGAGTTTTTATAACACATATAAAAAAGAGAGAAATGCAATATTCAGGCGTATACAGTGTATTATAAAAGGCATATTTCTGGATTGTTTCGAAACTAGTTGTTTGTTTACCAGTTTTTCAATTGCGACAGTGAGAACATTCCATTTTGGTTTGCACTGGTGCAGTAACGAACAAGTAGCGGGAAAACCCGATTGAGGTAAAGTTGAAACCTCGACTAAAATTAATAAAAGGCAGCCACTATAATTAAAACCATACAAGGAAGAAACTTTGAAGAGGGGCAAGCAAGAGGCAGAGAGCGATGCAAGTAGACAGATGGCATCAAAAGATGAATGAACAGCACATGTCAGCTTGTACCCCCAGGACAAGACACGGAGAGTTTACATCGGCGACCGGGTCATCCATTGGCCGGCCTGTAGACGACTTCGTCGCCGGTTAGGGCAATATTTGGGTTTGTCTCTCTTGATCAAATCACTACTTAAGTCCTTTTCCGTGCTACTTGTTTGCGAGCAATGCTAAGCCATTTAATATGACGCAAATAAATCTAGTCACAGATATAACCAAAAGCTCCTCCTTTGAAGGGATGCTAATAGAACGTGACGATTTCTAGTTTATCTCTCCCCCCTCCCCCCCCCCCCGCCTCCCCTCCCGCCTCCCCTCCCGCAAAGCAAGTCAAGACGGAAATTTAAGAAAAAAAGTCAATTTCAGCCATCCTTTATAGTGGGGACATTTGATTGACTGATGATAGCTTTCAGCTCTGCTATCTTGCTAGTTTTCTGTTCCGTGCCTTGTCTCCTGTAAGCGCAGATCAATACCTGTGGATTCCTGTTTAGCTGTATTTCGGTGGCCTCAAGGGTCGCACGGCGGCCGGCGCTGCCAGAAATAATCAGGAGCGTGTGGGACATGACAGCTGGTATTTGAAATGTTGTGCCAGGATGTTCGATTGACACCATCTGTCTGTCTGTCTGTCTGTCTGTCTGTCTGTCTGTCTGTCTGTCTGTCTGTCTGTCTGTCTGTCTGTCTGTCTGTCTGTCTGTCTGTCTGTCTGTCTGTCTCTCTCTCTCTCTCTCTCTCTCTCTCTCTCTCTCTCTCTCTCTCTCTCTCTCTCTCTCTCTCTCTCTCTCTCTCTCTCTCTCTCAGTAAAGTTCTTTGATTCGCCCTCACCCTGTTCTCTAGACGACCACTCCTTGATTATCTTTGCAAATACAGTTCTTTAGTTTGTTTTTCCTCTCCCCGCTTTCTCTCTGTCACACCTACTCGCTCCATTGGAGGTATAGTTGATTCATCTGTTCACTCTCATTCTTTCCTGTTTATTATCTCTTGTTTGTTCTTCCCCCCACCAACCCCCCTCCCCCCTCCCGCATCAAGCTCTTCTCTGTCACATCACACTGAGACTACAAGAGACAAAGGGATTTGTTTCAGCGGAGACTGGACAGTTCTGCAATTGTCCTGCTACCTGTTGATGATGATGATGCGGTTGATATTATTGTAGGTGACCATAACCCCATATCTATGTTTTCAAATTGTATATTTTGCTTTGTTGAGTTGTTTTGTCCCCTGTATGACATGTTTTGTCCCCTGTATGACATGTTTTGTCCCCTGTATGACATGTTTTGTCCCCTGTATGACATGTTTTGTCCCCTGTATGACATGTTTTGGTTGTCCATGAACAGATATGGCACAAGCTGTGTTTCAAGTGCGAAGTCTGTGGCATGACTCTCAACATGAAGAATTACAAAGGTTTCGACAAGCTGCCCTACTGCAATGCGTAAGTTGGAATTTATTTTATGCTGCTGTATGTTCTTCTTTTTTTTCTTCCTCTCAATATCTGCTTTGGGCCGCTGGACGTCACAGTATAACATTGTAGGCAGCTAAGCTAGGCCATGCTAAATTATTTGGTATAGTTATGTTGTGCAGTTATCTATGCAAGTTCTGATAACTCCTTTGATCCATATTCTTCTAGATCTCCCTCTTCATCTTGGTTGGTTCCATTTTTATATTCAATTGGTTGCCTTTTATGACATGCTTGTTAGGGGGTCAGTGGATCTATTCTCCCATCACCCTCCCCAAATAAGGTCCCAGAATTTACAATGGAAATCTTTGAATATATACTACACGCTTTTTTGCTTTATCCTAAAATCTATACTACATGCTGCGTCCTTCAGTCTCGATTACCCAGTGTTCTTCACCCTATAATACACATTACACTGCTGTGCCCTTCAGTCTATACTACACACTGGAATTCAGTCTAAACTACACACTGCATATTGTCCTTCAATCTATATTATAAACTACCATTCAATCTAAACTACACACTGCACATTGTCCTTCAATCTATATTACACACTACCATTCAATCTAAACTACACACTGCACATTGTCCTTCAATCTATATTATAAACTACCATTCAATCTAAACTACACACTGCACATTGTCCTTCAATCTATATTACAAACTACCATTCAATCTAAACTACACACTGCACATTGTCCTTTAATCTATATTACAAATTACCATTCAATCTAAACTACACCCCACACATTGTCCTTGAGTCTATATTACAAACTACCATTTAATCTGAACTGTCCTTAAATTTACATTGCTGTATCCTTCAAGACAGGTAATGTCGCTTTCTAGATTATTATATTTGGCTTTACAGGAGATTCTCTGTGTATGCACTTTGTGTATGGTTCGGTGTGATTCTCTGTGTATGCACTTTGTATATGGTTCAGTGTGATTCTCTGTGTATGCACTTTGTGTATGGTTCAGTGTGCTTGTTGTGAAGCCAATATACAATATAAAGGGGATTTTGTATGTATGCTCTTTGTTTATAGATATGATTGTTGTGTAGCTGGTTATACAATAAATATAGTTAATGTATACAATATGTGTTTTGTGTGAACGTGGTAGATGTGTATGCTGTGTTTAAACAAACATCTGTAGTTGTCTCAGTTTTATGGGGTTATTTCAAGTTGTTTTTGGGGCCCAAATTCATAATCATGTTTTCTTACAAAAACGTTTGTAATTTTTGGAACAGATATTTTATTTGTTATGTCCATCAGATGCCAATTGTCGACTGTTAGCAATCTCAGGCCGACAGAAAACAAATAAGATCAAAAATAGATGAACAAACAGTGAATCTCTTTAAAAACATTTAAAGTTAAAAATACACACATGTGAATGGGAAAAAATGCAAAGCGGCTGAAAATACAATAAAATTTAAGAATGAAAATGAAACTTCAAATTTTAAGGGAATAATAATATAATATATAAATGAAATCCATATTTATTTTTTTTTACAGGAATATAAGTGACAAAAAATAATTCAAAGATAAGAAAATAATAAACACAACTGAGACTGAAAAAAAAAAAAAATTAACAAATTTAAAATATCAAAATCTTCTTCTTCTTTTTCTTCTTCTTCTTTTTCTTCCTTTCTATCCCCCAATGGAGCATAGGCCCTCAACCAACTCACGCCAAGTCGTTCTATCCTTTGCCATTGCATGGAGCTCTCTCCCCATGTCCTCCCCATCTTTCTAACTTCATTCTCCAGCTCTCTTCTTCATGTGTCCTCATCTTGGTTGGCTGGGTTTTACTTGCTTCTCTTTTTGACTTATCCATGGTTGGTTGGTTTTTGTGGCTATGGTTTTTACAGGATGAGGTAGCCAACCTCAAGCCCAACCCTACCTACCTGATGACATGCCTGGTAGGGTGCAGTGTCACTATTCTTTGCTTCCTGTGAGGGCCCCAGTAGTAGTAATTTAAATTTTTTTTAAAGTTATCCGTTCAGTCCATCTTGGTTTAAATTTAGATATGGGTAGTTTTATTCTCTTTCAATATTGGATAAGTATGCTTGCTTGTTACTTTTGGGTAGAATAAACTCACTGTCTCCCGAAAAGCATGCTGTAAAAAGGGAATAATTAGAGATGTTTCCTTCTAAGTCGGAGTGCATGTGTGTTAGAGGTGAGCAATCACGTGTGGGTTCCAGGGCCCTATTATAGGTAAAACAAGAATAGACCTACTGCCTATCCAAAAGCATGTTGTAAGAGTTGACTAATTGGGAGCTTTCTTCGAAGTCGAAGTGCATCTGCCTGAGAGGCAAGAAACCAATAGTCTGCAAACAAATGTTTAAGAACTGTCAAACGGATGCACATGCAAAACCCAGGTTTTGGAACAGGACTGCAGTCCAGAAGTGGACGAACAAACAAAACTTTCCACTAGAGTTTACAGCTGGTGAACGCGAAGAAGAAGAAGAAGAGGTGAGCAACCAAAAGTGCTTTCAAATAGGTCAGATCTGTAAAATGGATGTGCATGCAAAATGCAAGTTCTGAAACAAGACTAAAGTCTAGAAGTGGAAAAACCACAAGAATTTTCTGCTGGAGTTTACAGCTGGTAAATGCAAAGAAGATGGTGATTCTGCCACTCTTAGATTTTTATTTTTCTCTTTATGATAGTAAAATTACTTTTAGTGGTACTCAATCATTTTAATTAGGTTCAGAAACAAGAGAACTGACTTCATTTCATCAGATTTTGTTCCATGTGGCTCATTGTCTTTTCTAAAGAATGACTGTTCACCTACCAAAAGCATCTAAAATTTTTTTTTTAAAGCACACATTCTGTAGTTCCAGCAGCAACCCCCAGCTTAACCCCTGTACTCACGGACGGGTGTCTGAAACAGAACCCGTATCCTTTTTTTGTACGGGTTTCGGGGTCCCATTGGGGAGGGGGGGGGGGGTATGGGCCAGCTGCTGTCGTAAAAAGTGACTATTTAAGGATTTACTGAAATCCAGTATATTCAGCCGAAAGCTACACATATTACAGTCAAGCTGTAAACGACATAACCTGCCACATGCCTTTTTAAAGATGATCACAGATGTAGGAAAAGAAGAAGAACCCACAACTTCAGAGGATGAGACATATAGCTTAACCATTTCTGCCACAGAGTCTTTGAAAAGTGATTGTACACTTCTGATATACTAATGACAACTTATTTTTCTCCTTCTTGTTAGTCATTGTCCTACAGCCAAGCACACACAAGTGGCGGACACACCAGAAACAAGAAGGATAGCTGAGAACACCAAGATTCAGAGTAATGTATGTTATTGTTAATAAACACTTTATTATTAGCTGCTGTATATTTTTGCTGCTGTAGGCAAATCTCTGCTAAAGTCAAAGTCTCTGTCTCGCAACACCAAGATTAATATATAAAACACTGATAAGACCAGTCGTTTTATATGGCTCTGAAATTTGGAGCACAACTAAAGGAGATGAAGCCTTATTACATGTTTTTGAAAACAGAGTGTTACGACAAATCTTTGGATCCATCAAAGATGCAAGCAGCGGGGAATGGAAAGTGAGAAGCAACGAAATTTCATCTGTTTAAATCACCATTGAGCACTGGCATCATGAGAGCTAATAGACTGAAATGGTTGGGGTATATTGAAAGAATGTCAGATGACAGAGAAGTAAAAACTTTATACACAGCGGAGATGAATGGTTGTAGACCAAGAAGACGTTGGAAAGATAATATCCAGACAGACCTGCAAACATTTGGTGTCACCAACTGGAAAGAGAACACCAACCAGAGAGATGAATGGAGACGGGTGATATCTGCAGCAATAAACCTCAAAGGCTCAGAATGCCGAAGAAGAAGAAGAAGAAATATGTTTAGGTTGATAGAATATGAGTTCTTAGACTGACACCTCAACAATCTGGTTGCTTGAGTCTCAAAAAGTGGCTTGGGCTCATTGGGGTCAGGCTAGAGTAGATAATTTACCAGACTCAGTTCTAGAGTAAGTCTTCTCAGGGGCTGTGCTGCACATCTCTCTTCCTCCTCTCCAAGCAGAAAAACAGTATATCAGTACATTAGCTTCACATCTGCATCGTGATGAGACACTGCACACACATTGCTCGTTACTGGAAGAAAAAAAATAACTGGCTGTCAGTCAAACTATGTATGTAGTATGTATGTAAATTGTACTTTACCAGTACATCACACAAGCGATAAACACCGGGTGATACAAAGTGCCACCATGCAGATGAGGATCACCCGCGGAGAGGTCTAGGAAACCCTGATCAGCCGTTAGGTCATATTTCAGGCCTGGCTGTATTTAGGGTGCCCGGCAAAAGCCAGGGTTGGGCTTCGAAATAACTAAAAATTGCATCCCACAAGGGGATGATGAGATTAAGTTATACAATCAGTCAAACATATTTCTTTCCAGGTGCAGTACCATGCAGAATTTGAGAAACTCAAGGGACATAAAACATCTGTGGCTGATGACCCAGAAACAGAGCGCATCAGACAGAACACCCAGATCCAGTCAAACATCAATTACTGGGGGTTGAAGGAGCAGAAGGACCAGATGGAAGGCAAGAGACCCGAGGGTTTCAATGATGGTAAGGAAAGACCACATGGTCCCTTTGTCGTCAACATTTATAACTATTTTCTACAATGTAATTCATATGTCTTTTATGTAATTTGTTGATATATTATAAAGGTCATTGCACATATTGTTCTTTATTGTTACGTATATAGTGTTTGGAAATGACCAGGGTGATAGATTCATCTGTTCTGCACTACTTGGTGTGGTAAAGGCCCTTTGAAAGCAGATGAACAGCGTGAAGACAGTGATAGATAATGCTGGTCTGTAAAGAATGGTACAGGGGGCAGTGACCATCACTTAACACCCACAGCTTAAAGTCAAGACATAGACATACAATCAGATTCAATACAAATTTGAACTTTGCATTGGCTGCTAAAGATGGGGATGGAGCACTTTTGGGAATGAATCCGTGCTGTTATGTCACTTCTCAACTGAACTCGACTCATGCTTGATAATTCAAATTTGCAAACCCTACAAAATCATCTTAAACAGAAAGAAATACATTTCTCTGTCTTATCTCTAAACTGCACTGAGGCAAACCATTAGATGCTCATTCTCTTAGTGTTCACAGCTGTACTAATAATAAAGTTGGTTATGTCTCCTTGAGTGCTTCTGCCTGTGTGATTACTAATTTCACCAAACCACTCACAAAAATGTTTATATAACAAATCATTTTACTGGCTTAGAAATGATAAGGTATATTGTATTAAACGCCCATGGCTTGAAACCACATTTAATGATATATTGATGGAATAAAACAGATTTTGAGATCTGATTTCTCTGTCCCTGTCAAAGCAGAATGTAAACAAGTCGATTCAAGGCAGTTTGTATCTTCACCTCTTCTTCTTAACATTCACTGGCTGTAAACTGCAATGGACGTTGGTCATGTTCTGGAACTTGAGTTTTGCATGCACATCCATTTTACAGGTCTGACCTATTTGTAGGTAGGCTATTGGTTCCTCAGCTCTCAGGCAGGTGCACTCCAGCTTAAATGGAAACACTTCTAATTAGTCACTTTTAACCTTTGATGACATGCTTGTGGTGGAGGGGAGGGGCAGGAGTCTGTTCTTTTTGCTCCCAAATTTGGGCCTTGGAATTCACAGCGAAAAATATTTCTTTTTATGTTCTCTTGACACAGTATATTTGTAAACCGTTATATTATCTTCACATTATATTTTAATTACAGATCTTCTCTTCACATTGTCTATTTCCTGTGTTGTTTTATTTAATTTACATCATATTTCTTTATATTACATCATATTTCTTTTCATTTCATGCTGTCCTCACATTATGTTTTCTACATATTTTGTTTTGTTTTTATTGCACTATTACCTTGCGAAGCACCGTGTAGTCTGTGTACATCAGGGCCATTCAGCTAAGTTTTTTTATTAGAGCATAAAACTGAATGTGGTATGAGCAGCTGCAGTTCTGAAAATAGTCACAGTTCTTAAAGTGGGAATCGTCACTGGCCAGCAGAGATAGAACTGTAAAACACAGTACAATTGGCATTGATGCACACTACTTGGCCTCCGCAGGCCAAGTCTTGCCCTTGGGCTGCGGGTTGAACATCTCTGCCATACATCAGTCCTTGGTAGCAGTATATCCAAAAATCCAATTACTTGACACAGTATTTAAAAAAAAATTACTTGACACAGTATAAAAAAGTACTGACACGGCATAAAAAAGTACTTGGCACAGTATTAAAAAGTACTTGACACAGTATAAAAAAGTACTTGATACAGTATAAAAAAGTACTTGACAGTATAAAAAAGTACTTGAATAAAAAAAAGTACTTGACACAGTATAAAAAAGTACTGACACAGTATAACAAGTACTTGACACAGTATATATTTAAAAAAAGGTTTCCCTTTCTCGCCAGTAGCATATCGGATCGGACATATGCTAGACTTGTTTTTGTATAGACCCTCTCGGCACTCAGTAGCTGATGTAGTTCATATCTTACTGGCCGTATTTACTTCCTAGGATGTTTCCTAGTACAAGTTTTTGGCTGGAGATCCACTCAATCGTTATCTGTTCATTTTTTGACTCCATGCATTAGAGATTGACAGTAGTCGGCGACTATGACTGTTCTGGTGGACTCCCAGAAGGAATGCAAGTTTATGTACACAGATAGGCATGTACATGTATAGGTTTATGGGCAGATAGTTTTGTGGAAATAGCACTCATACAGACATATTTATACACTGAGTGTGAAAATAGTTTTCGTGTAGATATATTTAAAGAATGTGAACATTGTCTCCATGTAGACAGATTTGTACAGAATATGGGAAATAGATTAATCAGTTGGGAGGGGGGGGGGGGGGGGGGGGGGGGGGGGGGGGGATACATACATGATATAGAAAATAGATTTTTACCGTATGTTTAAAATAGATTTTAAACAGAATATAGGAAATAACATTTATTGGGAATATATGAAAATACCCTTTACACACAAAAACTAAGCATGCACACACACACATATAAATATATAAACACACACACACACATATATATATATATATATATATATATATATATATATATATAGACACACACACTAAAACAGGCTGTATGCAGATTAGCTGAAGGACATTTTGGTCTTTTCTGAGCTAGAGTTAATAAACCAAAACATTGTATTTTCTGTGTGGAAGATGCTGGCATTTGTGCATGATTTGACCCATAATTGTGTGTTCTTTTACCCACCTCTGCATGCCTGTTGATGCATGATCCCAGATCTTGGAGGTAAGGGATATAATCCTGGCAAAATTAGCGACTACAATCCACCGGAACCAGTTGACCATGACCCTCGCCACTCCCATAGAAGTTCCGGAAGTATTGGAGAAGGTAGGAAGTTCATGAGCCTGTATGAAATTTTATTTTCTTGTCCATGTGTTCTTATCTGTTGCCAGACATGTTTCTGCTTATGACACGAAGTTGTGGGTGGGAGAAAATGTAATTTTTCTGTCTGTCTGTTTATATTCATTAGGGTGTTTCATACTCCCCCCCCCCCTCCTCTTCCCTCCAAGCTCATGTCTTCCTCCGTCAGGTTCTTCTGCTTCTTCTTCTTGTACTTTTTACCTTCTCCTTCTATGTTGGCACAGTGTGTTGTTGTTTGCAGCATAGCTGTTATATCTGTGCTTTTTGATGCAACACATCTGATGTCAACAAAGTTAGTTTTGTGTCCTGTTAGTTGCAGAATTAGCCACAGCAATTTTTGGCTGTTTTGGTTTTTCTAGCCAAAATTTGCATTTGGTAGACTTCTGATTGTTTAGGGGCCAACGGGGTCTAATTCGTTTTTCTCCCCAAAATGCTGGCCACAGAACCCAAAAGGGGACATCATTCATCTGTCTTGCTAGATATTGTTGGAAGGGGAAATCCACTCTTGACCTGTGATTTAAATTATAGTCCGTACCATGTAACAATGGTGGTCGTGTATATCTACAGCCTCCTGTCTCATGGACTGTCATTCATTTCTGTGACTGATGATCTTCTGTGGTATGATGCCAAACTGTCCAACATCTTCTCTCTTGTTCTTCCTCTACCTCCCTTCAGCTTTCTTATTTTACCATTTCACTGTACTTTTTTCTGGTGGTGCCAGTCACTTTTATGTACTTTTTTTCACATTTTGTGATATTTCATTATTAATCTGCAATGTCCATATTTGACATGGTAACAAAGAGTATATATGTATAAGAAAAAAAAAAAGATGTGACAGAATCATGAAATGATAAAAACAGTGAGACAGACAGTTGGATGGCCTTTGTAATTACACATTTATTATTCCTTAAAAGTTGTCACTTTGTTATCTTATAATGTTGTTATGTCCTATTATAGTAGCATAAGCACATGTTTTAAAAATCCCCAAGAATGGCAAATCAAAGAGCTGTTTATGTAATTATGCCAGAAAAGAACATGTAAAATACTGCCACAACCCTAAAATTGTTGAACAACTGTAAAACTAGAAATTAAATTCAGATAGACAAATGTAAAATAATACTAAAAACAACACCTGCCCCCTGTGGAGGTTATTTTTGTAAACTAAATTTCCTACTTGTAGCAACCCCCTACTCCCCTTACACCCACAAAAAAAAAAATGCATGCTGTCCCTTTGCCATTTGTTGAGCACAGTAAATGTGGCTTGACTAGCTGCTGTCTTGCATGCTATGCACATTATTGACTGCATCTTTCAGATTTCTGCCTGAGTTTAGGTTTTGGAATGCACAAATTTCCTTGGTTATTTAGCTGACACCTTTCTGTTTTTCCAGACGATTGTGTTATTTAGTACTATTAGAATTTATGGGAATCACAACCTATGGTGATGGCCAGTGTCAGCAGCAAGACTGGAAAAGTCTTTCCCAATTAGAGCGTGGGATTTTAGGACCATTGTCCGGCGATTATTTAATGTAAGCAGAAATTCTTCTAAAGTCATTAGGATAACTATTCTTCAGCAGAAGTTTTTTTCATCTGTATTTAGTGAGTTGTATTCTATGTGATTCAACTTAGAGTGCCTCACATCCTCCTGCACTTTTGCATTTCAGTAACCTTAGATGTATAAATATTAGCCACTGACACAAATTTAAAGCTGAATTATTTAACAATTGAAAATCATCACATTTGGAAAATTGAGCTTTGCCTTTATCTGCAGCTGTGGAAGTGAAATCAGCAAAACATAACATACAGCTTTGATTATTATTGTTAGCTGTTTTATTTGAACAAAACTCTTCCTGAATTCTTACCAACAATTAATATTTAAAAAATAAATGATTAATCTGGATGTATTAAATATTTAAAAGGTGCTGATATTTTACGGACATTTATCGATATCTTTGGTATTTTGTGTATTTCATGCTTTTCATTAAAAAAAATAACTTTTTATTTATTAGTGTTCTCTTTATCATCAAACGGTCAAGCCTTTTTGACAGTTGAGGTCTTTATTTGATAAAATGCAATTCTTTCAGCTTTTCCCCAGTAAAAATGGTTTCTATAGCTGTTCCTTCTGTGTAAGATTTTGGA